CCAAAATTTTAGAAAATGTTCTTTAAATATGTATCTTAAATGCTATAAAAAGTTTGAAAAAGAATTCCATTTTTTATATAGAAAAAAAAATTGTTGAAAATATGCTATTTTTTCCCGGTGTAAACCCATGTAACCCCTTAATATGACATTATAACTCATAAATATTCGAAAAGAGTGCATTCATTTTTAAATGAATAGTTTAATATGTATTTCAGAACGATGGAAGAAATTCAAGATGAAGAGCATTTTGATTTAATTCATATTGAAATTACACTTTGAACGTATACAAGTCTACAAAATCCTCATTTTCCCTTTCAACATCTCTAAATGATTTAATCATCTTCGATTCTCAATTAATGTTCTGATTTATATTTTCACTTATAAAAAGAAAAAAGATTATTTTTGGACGTCATACTTCGAATACCCTAGAGAGAGACAGAGACACATACGAGCCAAGCCAAGTCAATGACGAAAGTTTGATCCATTTGGCGACTATAATTAAAACGATGTCCACGGAGAATGTATCGGTTACAAGCAAGAGAAGTTGCTGCTTGTTGGAACTATTCGAGATCGTAAATACCAGAGACTATATGGTATATATATTCTATATATATATATATATATAGAGAGAGAATATATATGCCGATACACATATACACGTACGTATGGAACAATTATCTATGTAAAATGAACGTCGACAATAGCCAACATGGATACACGGTAAATGTACGATTGGTCGTAGGAAGGTCTGTAACGTCCAAGCCTATGATGGTCATTGTTAGGCTGTCCACGTTCTACCTACCTTACACCGGTTTCTGTTGGGAACCAGAGATGCATACACGCCACTCTGTGTATCACTGCGGATCCACGCAAATGTAGCCACGGCAAGAATTATGCGTGTAATCAGTGCCTCTTACCCATAATCTATGGCGTCGTTATTATTTATTCGGTTAATCATTATACTCATGCGAATTACTCCAAACCAGATAATATTGCACGTTGTTGGATTTGGATTACACTCCATAAGGGGAAGTAGTAGGTACAGTGAAATTTGTGAGTGAGGAACCGTGATAGGTACACGTATAAATAGGAGATTATAACGATTGGTAAAATGATCATCAATTTTTGAATTTAACAACAACGTAGAAATATGATAATTATAATGAGATGAAATATCGACTCTTTTTTTCTTCTTTTTTTTTTTGTATTATACCCCATACATTTCGGGATAGGACGTTCAAAATTGGAAGTAAGAGAAGAAATCGATGAAAGGACCACTTGAATTTTGATTGATTTCTTTCCAGACTCGAAGGGAATTTCGAATTTATACGGATCGAATAAAAAGGAAAAAAAAAAGAAAAAATAAGGAAAAAGAAACGTATCACCTAAACGTGAATTCACCCCTCGGAAGGTTTCATCTATCGAGTAGTGAAACCTAACTTATTACGTTTTGCTTCATTCCCATCTCCCCTATTTCTAACGATACCTTTTGTCTATCATTTATCAAGATTTATAACACAAATTAAAATCGAAAAAAAATATATTATATATACGCGATGTGTGTGAAAATCGACGATCGATTGAATTTCTTTAAAATTATCGTATCTTCTGAAAAACATTTTATCGTATACGTCGCGTTCGATGAAAAATAAGAAAAGAAATAAAGAAATAAAAAGAAAAATATAGAAAGACATCTTGACGATCGTCAACTGACAAGTAGACTCTTGATAGAGGGTGGGGAGAGGGAGATAACAAATCTTTGTGACGAAAGAATACGTACTCCAAAAATGCACCCTCTGAAAACAAGTTGGTCGTTATATATCGAAGCCTTGTTGCCTTAAAAGTGGAATATACCTAGTATGTTATCGAAGAAGAATATTGAAAAACGGTGTGGGTGTTGTACGTCATGTGGGTGACAGAAAAAGAGAAAAAAAAGAGAATGAAAGAGAGAGAAAGAGAGGGTAGAAAGGTTCGAACCCGTTGTATAATAGGTACACGTATTCGTACGTATCGAGGTAAATGGAGCGTGCTAGGTAACTGTGAATCCCCCCCCCCACAACACAACAATTCCCCCTCCTTCTTCGTACTTCTACTCTTCCTCAGGCACCCTCTTCTTCTCTCACCTCATCTGCACTGCACTCATTCCATCCCATCCCATCTCATCCCATCCCATCCCATCCCATTTCGATCTGCACCACTCCGATGACATTTCGATTTTGATCTTTACGACAATTTCACGGTTATATAAGCAATCGTGCCTGTCTGTTTTTTTATTTTTTTCTATTAACAACTAACAACATACTTCTTATATAGTATTATATATAATCTTTGATGTATTTTTTAAATAAAAGATAATATGTAAATCATGAGGGAGTTTCTTCGTTTTGAGAGAGAGAGAGAGAGAGAGAGAGAGAACAAAATTAAGAAATAAAAGAGAAATTTGTAAAAAGGAAATTGTTTTCTGGTTGAAATCTTGAATTTTATTGCCCATTTTATCTCGACATCCTTGACATAAGGAATGTATTTATCAGAGAAGGGGATATAGGCAATGATGAAAATTTAATTATGTCAGAATAATATATTGCGTTAAAAATTTAAAAAGAAGAAGAAAAAGATAAAAACATAGTAAGGATATTGTTAACTTATTATTATCGTTCTTTCTTCTTTTTTTTTTTTTTTTTATTTTCATATGGCAAGGATTATACTGAAACTTATGCAATAAGTCTTTTTCTTTTTCCTTCTCGTTCGTTTTGTGTTAATTATAATTCTTTGTTTGAATTATATAAAAGCATTGTATAAATATTTTGCTTAATTATAAATCGTTGTTACCACAGATTGAAAATGATGGAGGGTCGTAGTTTGTGTTCTCGTTGCATTCGTGGCTTTTTAAACTTCTCTCATCGTTTGAAATTTAATACAAGGCGATGCTGTTTTACGTCTCTTCTACGGTAAAAGGTGACTCTGCTCGGAGAGTAATGGAGCGTCGTCCTTTACAGGATGCGCCCAAGCTTCCATTTACGTTAAAAGTACTCCAACTTGACGCGTAACGAAATTCGATTTTCCAATAATTTGTCTCGCGAAATATCCTAAATATTCGCGAATTGAATTTTAACTGACAATGTGAGATATATTATAATAGTGCATATTCGTGTCTTCTAATAATAATGCAAAAAACAAAACAAAACATAAAAAACAAAAGAAGAAAATAATTTTGCTCAATTAATCTCTTTCGTTCTCTAATATAAATATTAATAAACGTAACACAAATATATTTTCAATATAATTTCAAAAATCTAATATATTAGAATTATTTCAAAGTTATAATTTATTGCAATTCCCGTTGTTCTGCTGCTTTATAATTAATTTTTTTTTTTATGCAATTAAGTTTCAATAAAGTAAGCATTATATTTTTTTTTTATATCGAAATAATTAATATTATTAGAATATATATTGTATAACACTGTTATCTATATCATAAAGAGAGCATAAAATATTTCTTACCGATAGTTGGGGTAATAGCATTTGTAATCAACATTATCAGCTTACAATTAATATCGAGTAATGCATCCAAATTAATCATGCATACAAATAACAAAAATCGTTAAATATAAACTCGACAGAGATTACTAATAATTTTCCAGATAAACATGGAATATTATATTGATCGGATTCAAAGTAGTAGTAAATATTTTCCCATTTATTGCTCGAAAAATCTCATCAAACGGTAATAATTCTTCTCTCTCGCAACGAGATATTCCTTTTGAAATAGGGATTTGAAAGAATCGCATAGACTGAAAATAGATTAATAAAAAGAAAAAAAAAAAAGAAATAAAACAGAGCCGTGGAATTCATTGTAAGTTGCGCATTGAAACGGCTTGAATGGTGGAGGAAATACGATTGGTTTCGTGAAATTATGCCTGGGGTGACTGTGTTATAATTATTCGTTTTATTTCATTATCATACGAGAACAGCTGACGACGACTAATGACGTTCGTATATTTTGGAATTGGGAGGGTTGCTTTTTTAAACGTTGCAACATCAGCCGTCGTCATTAACGTAAGTAAAAAAGGAAAAATAAATTACAGGAGTAATAGAGATAAAGATAAAAGAAAAGAAATGAAAAGAAATTGAGATAGAGAGAGACAGAAAGAAAAAGAAGAATATTAATTCTCACGTCGATGAGAGACATTCCAATGAATGTACGCTTATCAATTACGATTAATCCAATAGTATTTATAATTCATTGAATTTATTAACCAAGAGAGTCAGTTACGTGATCCGAATATAACCGGCGTTATATTACGTGTCTCATCTTAATATGCTTTCCGTTCTTAATTCATCGCACAATTACTCTAACAGATAATA